ACTTGCTTACGGACTTACGCAGTCCCGGTCAGGGCTTTCTTTGAGGTCATTAGGCGTTGATGATCAGAGCATAACTTTGACATTTTGATAACGCTGATTTAGGACCGGTATTGCTTATAGACGCTAACACACACACGCATACACTTGAGCAAAATTAGCAGGACAAGTATGAAAGATAATTAGCCAAACCACTCTATATCCATCTAAGTTTTTAATTTTTAATTTTATTTTTTCTCAATTGAGTCTATGCAAGAAATAAGATCGAGCCTGCTAGTCCGCTTGGTCTAGTTTTAATGAAAGCCTTTAACAATAATGGCACCCAGCTCTGATGATGTCCATCTTATGATGGACGAAAGCTCAGCACCTTCTCACCCGAAACGAGGGAGGAAGTCTCGTAGACTGCGTAAACATGAATATTATATACAAACCAAACGGCTGCAGTACAACGAGGTTCATCCGTACTCATCTGATGAGATCGACCTACGAATCTCTACTTCATGCACTTTCATACAAAATGAAGGTCCTCTTAACTATCCAGACATGTCAGATTACGCAACCCCAGTCTTACCTTTCCTTGGGGGTTAAACTTTAATGACCCTAGACTAATAGGGTAGGACAAGTGGTTTCATACCTTGTTTTTCACGCTAACAAGCTTATATCTCATTAACTCAATCATACTTGTTTCGAGGTTTATGCAGTCTCTGTCAACGCTCTGATGATGTCCATCGAATGATTGACAAAAGTTTAGCGCGTTTTAACCCGAAACGATGGAGAAAGTCTCGTAGACTGCATTAACATGAACATCGTATAAAAGCCAAACGGCTTTAGTACAACGAGATTCATCCGACCTCATCTGGTGAGATCGACTAACGAATCTCTTCTTCATTCAGTTTCATAAGAAATGAAAGTCCCCTTAATCCTGTTCACAACCTGTCTGAGTTGTCCAACTCAACTTTGTCCACTGCCCAGTCCCCCGAAGCTGACTCGAGCTCCAACTCAAGATCCTTCGATTGTAGCTACGACTACTGAATCGTTAGCGGTAATTTTGCACATTTTCTGCCCTCTGCACTGTCCTGGCGAGGCCGGTCAGATGACCGGATCTGGAGACAATGCAGATATACCCTCTTTTATGCGATGAAAAGTACTGCAAATCTCGTGCACCGGTTGTCAAGTCAACTAGGCGGGTTTTCATTTTTGCTCAAAAAGTCCATGATGGCGAAACAAGCCGCAGAACAGTTCTTTGCTCACTTCGCTTTTCGTGTCTCGCCTCCAACGGGCAGATGCATGCATATAAAGCAAATGGTCAAGCCTTTTCCGGTCCAGTCGAAACATCAACACGGCTAAAGTACCCGTTTTATAAATGAGGTGTAATTGAGCTTCGAGGATTCTTTTAAAATAGCACTGTTCGGCATACTTTCATTTTGTGTGAAAGGTTCGTTGTTAAATCTCACCGGAAGACGAAGTAGATCCGCGTTATTCTTCAGCTGTTTGGCTTTAATATGACATTCACATTAACTCAGTCCACGAGGCATCTTCTCTCTTTTCAGGTTAAAAAGAGCTCGTTCTATTCTTTCCAAAATCTCAAGCTATCACCAAGTCAAGAAGACTGTCCAGATTTATCCTACATCTTATAAATACACTACATATATATCTTATAAATACTCAAAATTTAAGAAAAGAAAACTTATAGGTATGGAGAGATAGAAAGGCATAAATGCTTTGGTTATTTCTCTTTCATTTTATTCATTGCACTTTGATGAGCTTATAGAACTTTTGAATGAATGTGATCGCGGTTGGAGTTATCACTGAGCTTATGACTCACACACATACAGATACACTCAACTAAAAGTACCATGAATAATGTGGAAGGCAATTAACCAAATTATTTTATATCTATCCATCTATATTTTTTGTATTTTTTTACTCATGAATAGTTGTACGATGTAACATAAAGCCGGGCAGTCTTGTTGGTTTAGTTATAACATGGGACTTTGGAAAGCATATTATGAACGAATGCTAATCCAGTTTTCACCCGAAACTAGGGAGGGTGCCTCTTGGGGAACGTCGTATTTATGCAAACCGGCTACAGAACAATGGGAATCGGCAATCATCTTCAGCAAATCTCTACTTCATACACTTTTATACGAAATGAACTATCCTCAATATAGAATCAGTTGGTGTAGGGAAGAATGTAGTGACTGGTATGAACTGCTTCTGTGGGTTAACCTGACGTGTCAACAAGCACATACGCCTGGCAAGTTGTAATGACCTTCGTGGCTTGGGCTACCGGGCCACATGGGCATGCCCGACTGGTGCACACACGCTCCCACAGGCAGACTTATCAAAGGTCATACAAGCCGATAAATAACTGATGGTTTAGTTTGTCCCACACTCAAATCACAAGGCCTCAGGGTGCCAATGGGTTCGAGTCCCGTTTGGGGCGAGAATGAGGCGCAAGTCCAGTCAATCCTGGATGTTAATATCACACGGCCAAATGAAATCCATTGGTATTCTAAGGCGTATTTTATTATTGTGTGAAAATTGACTATCAGTACCTTATTATATTATGCGAGCCAGGTGGAGTATAATTATTATTCACATATAGCCAGCCCTAATAAATGCATTGTTATGACGACCGAAAAGCAGATTGTGCCCTGGCAACGGACCCCAAGTGTTGATGCAATTCGTTGCCATGACATCTGCATTGTAGGGAGGCCATACTTGAAGTCGTGTGCTCGACAAGTGGAGGAGTTAATGGCCGATTAGAATCCCGTCAGATGATTGCGCATGTTCGACTGGGGCGATTGAATGGATCGTTTAGGCGTTTGTTATTGATACTGATTCCGCAATTGTTAAAAAGCATACTTGAAGAAAATATGGGTTTCTGATTGGGACCATCATACATAAATACAATGCACACATTCCAAATGGCTAAACAGGCAGCAACATTAGAGGATCGTATGCTGGTTGCTATCGTGTCCCCTGCCTTTTCACGAATTAACCACTTCCATCTGCAGACGGGTAGGATTGGTTGCATGAAGCAGCCAACGGAATCTCGAGATAAGGTCACAATCAGTCTACGTCGTTGCAGGTGATTTAAGCCGTTATAGCTGACTTTTTCCCAAAAACTTTTACCCACATTGAATTTAAGTCATGTCGTCGATTGCAATGGAAAACATAAGTTTGTGTGATCAAGGACAATGCCTGGCTTGTTTATTAATGCTTAATAATTGTTTGACCTTGGTTTCGCAACCTGATCATATTGTCAGAAAGACCTAAAGGAACGCACCCGATCCGGTGTTCATAGTTTGCGTGATAATTTCCAGAGTGCACAATTCGACTCTGGAAATAAACACGCAAACTATGGACTCCGGACTGGGTGCGTTCCGCTAGGTCTTCCTGACAATATGACCAGGTTGGGAAAACAAGGTCTAACAACTACTATAAAACGAAAGGAGACTGCGACCACACAAAATGCCATACCATCTTAGCCTTCATACCTTGATAGTCTCGAAAACTGCTCACCTTTAAAGGAAATCACGGGATGCCTGAGGTAGATATTAAAATTGTATATAAAAAGTGAGTGACTTTGCAACCGGTCACCTCTTTTGTTGGCTAAAGCCTTACTTTAAGGATTTCCAAAGTTTTGTAAAGTTAATATCTTATTTCACGGAGTGATCCCGGGGTCATAGAAACGCTGTTCCAACCATGCTTCGGCCACCAGTTATTTTTAAGGCTAGCTTAGACTTTTATATGCTTTTTTGTGTGCATGTGTGGGCATGTTTTAATATGTTTTAAGCAGAGGGAAGGGAAGATAAACTAGGTGAACTTGTCCTATTTGAAGTGATATGTGTATTTCCGGTTACAGTAAAACTGGAGTCTCATCTCCATCTCGAGGCTCACCTACGTGGATGGGCCCGAACGCACACCGTCAACGCAGAGGGCATCGATCTGTTTCAGGCTGCCATGGAGACGGGAGACTTCAGTCTGGTTCAATGTTTAGAGAAATATCGGCGTACCAACGAGCTAGTCGCCTCAGCCATGGCCTTGGATGCTATCAAAGTCAATCAGCTGCTGATGCATAAATCTGGTGGGCCACTTCATTTAACTCCTAATTCTCTCCTTCGCTACATACATTAGTCAGCATACCTGAAGGACAAAGAAAGTGACAAAACCCTATTACAAAATGTCGTTTTAGGTTTATTTACCATTTAATTTGGCATCAAGTTCTTTGGCTTTTTTGATTCAAGTGGCTAACAATGTTAAAACTCGATGAATGTGGTGCTTAATCTACCATACTATGTTAAATTACAAATTCTTATTTTCTTCTAATATTTCATTTTCCTCTATTATTTGTGCTGATTTATGCCAAATGCTTACTTATTCCATTATATCTTATTAACCTATATCTTTTACAGACAGCTGTATATTTAAAAAATTATTGCGAAATATTATTACCCATTGCATTTGTTCGATTATTATACATTCTATCCATTTTTTTGCAATCCTTCATTTCAAACAATTTTTTCTTCGAAGATATGAAGACCAGGATGGTGTGCCCTTATGTCTGATTTCGTGGCATTTCAGTAGTTTGACCTTGCTTTTGCAACTTGACCAAATTGCTAAAACTTGGTCAAACGTCTTTTTTTTCTACTTTTATTTTCACACTTGATTTCCAGTATATTTTTTGTCCGCTATTGTATTGTCATCTTATCTTTTGTCTTCAATGCACGATTATATTGACCTATATTATATACTTCTTGTACTTAGTCCTTCTAGTAATTGAATAAGCTATTGAGTTTTTATATGCTTCAATATTTCATTTGATTCCTTTGAGTTTAATCACGCTGGGCATAGTATTTTCATCTGAATGCAATCCTATTTTATTCTAATAAATGCAACCCTAAAAGCGCAACCTTTGCAGAGCTTAGTCAAAAATAACATCAAGTTTGCAAACTTTTAATTAGGAACAGGATTGGTCCAGTCTACACCCTCCTGAAACCTTATAATTATACAGGATCTTAATCAGGTTTGGGCATTTCACTTTCTTTGTAGTAGCATTTGTGCATCCCAAAATGACTTTCTCTCCTTTATTACTCGCGTCTTTGTGGTGGAGTTCAACAAATCGCAGATAAGTGCGTGAGGTTACTTTACTAAATACGTTTATATTAGCACTAAATTGAT